CTGGTATTTCCAGGGAGCCATCTGAACTTTGGGCTTTTCTGGATTGACTGGTGCCAGAGGCATTGACAGAAGCCCAAGAAACTCTGGGATCTCCAGTTTTGAAGCTCTCGGAGCCATTTGCAGAATTTCCCTAGAACTCCTTCGGGTGCACCATTTGTTTCGTTATTAGGGTGATGCCGCCAGCATGTAGTCAAGCGAATTCATAAAATCAGGCTTTATCCAGGAATTTCGGTTTCGTTGCAGTCTGCAGTGAGTTATTTCAATTGTATGCCTTCTTAATACAAGCATCCAGTGTTGTGCTACGGAGATTACATTCTTTTGGCTTTGGAAAAATATTTCCTGTAAGGTTCAAGCCATTAAGGCCCGTTAGGGGTTCACATCTGGAAGGCCAAGGGGAGGGGCCCTGTCTTGACCCACCCAGGACTTGTTTACTTCCCAGGGCTGCCTGGGGTGGGGACCTAAGGGGCTCTGCTGGGGGTTCTGGGGCTTCCTCCTGGGAAGGAGGAGGGGAGTTCCCTTTTCTGCCTGTTTCTTTGTTTTAATTCTATTTATTTTTATTTCATGTGCATTGGTGTTTTGTCTGCATGTATGTCTGTATGAGGGTGTCGGGTCCCCTGGTACTGGAGCTACAGACAGTTGTGAGCTGTCGTGTGGGTGCTGGGGATTGGACCGGGGGTCCTCTGGGAGAACAGCCACTGCTCTTAACCACTGAGCCATCTCCTCAGCCGTCTCGCTGGTTTTGAACGTCCATCCCTTCTCCTACTTGAGCAACCCTCGTTTTCACGTTCCCCTGGTTTTCTGTGAGGCTTATGTGAGCATATTCTGTGTAGGAGAGAAGCTGTTGAGTTTGGGATGGTGGCGTTTTCCTGGGGTGGGGTATTTAGGATGGATGGGATGTCGTGGGCCCTGGCTGCAGGGTGCCCAGATGGTCTTCTTGGTGACTCTTCCTCTCCATTGATAGAGGTCTATGAGTCAGCCTCATGTCGTAGAGATGAAACCCAGTGTTGGTGCCAAATTATTGGTGAGTGCTGGCCTCCCCATGCTAAATTGTTCCCTGCTGCCGTCACTCTCAAGATAATCAGGCTGGGCCATGTCTTGCTGATTCCAGCAAGCATTAGGCTCTTGAGAGGACCTCCTCTGCTCCCGTGACCCTTTTGGAGAGGTCAAAGCACCACATTCTTTCTTGGGGACAGCCAGTGTCTTGGGAGCACCGTCCATGAGTGTTTTGAGGGGGTCTTAACTTTCGGGGTAAATGATTTCATGATGTGAACAGGGCATAACAAATTCATGACCCTTGTCCAGACCACATACAGCCAGAAAGGGTATCAGACAACTGCAGAAAAGTGCCTGGCTTCGGCCTCGGATGGGTGCCATCATCAGAGCTGATGGACATAGGCTCTGCCCTCTGTACCTCACGAAGGGATTGATGGGCCAGGTCTGATGAGCGTCTTTCCTAAACATAGGCTCAGAAACAATAAAAATCCAGGTCTGATCCGGGTGGTGGTGGCACATGCCTTTAATCCCAGCATTTGGGAGGCAGAGGCAGGCGGATCTCTGTGAGTTTGAGACCATTCTGGTCTACAGAAACCCTGCCTTGAAAAAGAAATCCAGATCTGGTCTCTTTGTGCCTCTTGGGCTGGTGTTCCCGCGGTGGGGGGTAGTTATTTTGAGAGTGGTTGGTCCTGAAAGCTGGCTCCCACAGGACAAATGTAGCCCACCTGCCAGCTTTTCCTAATTTATTGGCCTGCTCACTAGATCTTGTTGCATACCCATGGGAAGCCATATGACAAGTCCATGAAACAGCTGTTAAAATGGAAAGCTCAACCACCCACATTTCCTAAGTGCTTCCTCTGGGAAAGGCATGGCCATGGGCTTTTGTGATGGGGCTGCCAGGGGAGCTGGGTTGTACAAGTCCCAGCTTCTCTTACTGTTTGTGGCTTAGGAGGTGACTGCTCTAAGACAGAGCTGAGGGGCAAGTTGGGAGGCATTGCAGCGATACCACAGAAAGGCCATGTCAGCTCCTATCCTGGACTCAGGCCTCAGTGACTCATAGAATCCTTGATCTTGGTATTCAGGACTTGAGGAAGACCCTCAAAGAGTGCTGGCTGTATGTATCCAGGGAGCCTTGAGGATGGAGTGGCAGAACTCTGAGAGTAGGGGCTACAGGAGCCTGTTGGGTCTCCATTGTTATGATGGAGAGCTTTGGCTTAAATAACGTAATCTGAACACTTTACACAGAGTTTGGAAGTGGGTGGGCCTGGGCTCATGCTTTGTTACTTTCTTTTATAAAGCCTTGCTCGATTCCCTGTAAGTTGGAGTCAAGCAGGACACAGTGAGAGAAGGTTGTGGACACTCAGCTGTCTCTTGGCAACTGGAACCCAGAGAAAAGTTGGTTGTTGCTGTTAATTATGGACGGAGCTTAGGTGGGTGGGAGAGCCTGAGGCTCTCATGAGAAGCTGAGACCTTGATCTAAGTGAGGATGGATACAAGGGCCGCTGTAGGCTGTTTGTCTCTGTGACAGATTGGAAGTAGGCTCTGGCTCATTTGATGTCCTTCGGGTCCCTCTGGCTGCTGTGCAGAGTACATGACAGTCCTAATAAAGAGCTGGGGCAGGCCTGCCTGGCATGGGGTTTGCAGACCTGCCTGGCATGGGGTTTGCAGATCTGCCTGGCATGGGGTTTGCAGACCTGCCTGGCATGGGGTTTGCAGGCCTGTGCAGTTGCTAAAGGCATCGCTGGTCATGCCGGTGAGAAACCTGGGCTTCCTTGAGCATGTGTTTTTGTGTGTAGTGGGCACATGAGTTCGTGCCTTCTTTGCCAACAGAAGACCTTGGCTTTATAGAGACTCATCTCTATTACAGTCACTTAGTCATTGCCATCAGGAAACCATCAACTCTTGATGTCTCTATTTTAAGTATTCCTGACAATGCAGTTTTAAAAGCATTTTGCGTGCATGCATGCGTGTGTGTGTGTGTGTGTGTGTGTGTGTGTGTTTTACACTCAAATGCTTTATTAAAAAATTGAATAGTGGAAGAATGTCCAGTTTTCTTTCAATATCCACTAGGGAATGGTTCAAAGACCACCTTTAGAAATGTAAGTCTACCTGTGCTCAAATCCCTTGCAAAATGGTATATTTGGGTGCAGCCTATGCATATTTTCCTGGATGCCCTAGTCTCTAGGTGACTGATAATTCCTAATACAAGTAAATGCCACGGAAGCAGTCTTTATATGTCACTCCTTGAGGAGTTGAGGTACTGAGATCTGTGTGTGTTCCGCACCTTTCTCCCTCCCCGGCATCTTTAGTCTGTGGTTGGTTGGGTCCATGGATGTGGAACCTCCCGAAGGGATGCTGTCTGTTTCCACTCAGCCATGGGCATCTGTGTATTCATGACACTTGTACACCTTTGAGTTCTCCCACCGGGAGCTGATTGGCAGAGGTCAAAATTCCTCCTGGGCAAGCTGAGTAAACTGAAGGGTTAAGTTTTTTTTTTTTTTTTTTTTTTTTGATTTTACAAGACAGGGTTTCTCTGTATTGTTTTGGAGACTATCGGTCCAGCCCAGCCTCGAACTCACAGAGATCCGCCTGCCTCTTAAACTTTTTTTTTTTTTTTTGCCATCAACAGCATTTTGGCTCCTGAGAGTGGCTCCCGGAAACAATGGCTGTCCAGAGAGAATGGGAGACGGAGATGCCACCGGGGCGCAGAGCTGGACTCCATGTCCAGATTAACCTCTGAGGTGATAGATACAGAGGAGCTGGAGTAAGGGAAGGGCAGGGAAGAGGAAGAAAGGGGCAGGAAGCCTGTTTCCCTCATAGGAGGAGGCAAACCAAAGGCAGAGATGGGGTGGGGTCCACAGAATAAGCTCTTAGTCCCTCCCACCTGGGGACGCGTCAGCCAGAGGCAGGCAGCATCTCTAACCACTGCTGAAGGGACAACCGATCTCAGCTTCCGAGAACTGGATGCTGCCGATGTGTGTGATGGTTCCAGGGGATCTCTTCCCGGCAGAGGTGCGAGAGGAAAGAGGTGCTGAGGATGGCCTTGGGATACCTTAGGTTAGCTTCCCTGCCAGTGAGTGGAGGGATGTGGCCTTTCATTCCCACAAGCCACTGCGTTCCCAGTGCCCAGGGGCAGAGAGAAAGGGGAGGATCCTAGGGACTTGTATAGTGACTGTAACCTAGAAAAAGAATAACTTAAGTTGCTTGTGACAAAGATGACTGAGGTCCCAGCCAGCCCTTTCTCTGCGGTCAAGGGAACCTGCTGGTGTTCATGGCCCTTGAGTGGACCACCATGAAGGATGGAAAAATCATTCAGTTGATGAGTGCATGGCTGGGGTTTTTAAAAGCCCAGGAGGGAATAGGTGACCATCATTTTTATCTATCTATCTATCTAGTCTGTCTGTCTGTCTGTCTGTCTGTCTATCGCCTTTATGTGTTTGTATGCGTATGTGGGTATGTGTTGGTGTTAGTGTGTATGTGTGCTGATGTGTGCACATGGATGTAGAGGCCAGAGGTCAACCTCAGGCACCATCTCCCAGGTGTCACTGTCTACCTTGTTTCTTGAAGACCAGGACTCTCATGGGCCTGGAACTATTGCTTAGGGAAAGCTGCCTGACCAGAAAGCCAGGAGTCTGTCTCTGCCTCCCCAGGGCTGGGATTGCAAGCTTGTTTTTGTTTGTTTGTTTTGAGACAGGGTTTCTCTGTGTAGCCCTGACTGTCCCAGAATTTGCTCTGTAGACCAGGCTGGCCTCAAACTCAGAGATCCAATTGTATTTGCCTCCTGAGTGCTGGGATTAAAAGCATTGGCCACCCCAACCAGATATGTGGGGTCTGGCACTGGGACTCAGGTTCCTGTGTGTGCATGGGAAGCCCTTTACTGAACCATGGTCACCCCAGTCTAGACTATGACTGTTAAAATAACTATTCCTTAAAAAGCCTGAAATAATTAACTTTCCTTTTAGTGACAGAGTACAACTAACTCTGTTCCTGCCCTTTTTCTCCTACAGAGGCTTACCCCGTGGATATTCTGGAGGATGACCCCGAAGGCCATCAGGCAGCAACACAGGTTTACTATGAGTCCCTCAGGGAAGGAGCCCAGGCCTCTGCAGAGGTCTTCTCTCTTCCTACTGGGGAGCAGGTACGTTTGTTGCCCACTTAGAAAGTGGGATGATAGAGAAAGAATATCTCAGATATAGAAGAACAAAGGCCAATCAACAAACAAAGAAACTTCTGGAGGGAAGGCTGAAGTAATTTCAGTTTTGTGTGGAAGGAAACCTTCGCTGGGATTCTGGAGTCCTGAGTGGGAGTCTGGTCATTGTGGACCATGGGCCAGTTAACCTACGGGGATCCCATGGCTGCCACTTAGGATGTCTGTGGACTCAAGCAAGTATCTTCTCCTGTCTGGTCTTGGTGTTCTCATACTAAATTCAGAGCACTGACATCATTTTCCTCATTGGGCTAGCATGAGGGTTAAATAAACTACTGTATGTAATGCCCAGCCAGGCATCAGTTTCTTTGTTTTAAAGTGAGGGAGTGATTCATCTCTCCTCTCTAAGGTTTGGTTCAATTCTGATATATGATCAGGAATGAAGCCGTTTCTCTGAACTTTCGGCATTGATGACGTTCTGTGCAATTATATGTACTGCAAGGGGACACAGAGAACTGGAAACTTTGTTTGTTGGGCTTGTGGCAAAATTTAAAAATATGTTATGTGCGTGCGCATGTCAATGTGTGCACATATGTATCCAGGGGGCAACTTCAGGATACAATTGCATACAAAATGCAATCTGACTTGTGTTTTGAGACAAGGTCTCTCACTGGCTTGACGCTCACGGCCAGCAAGACTGGGGTTCCACCTTTCTCTGCCTCCCCAGTGCCTGTGGGGCATTGCACCTGTCTTTCTATGTGTGTTGTGGGGAGCAGACTCAGCCCTTCTGCTTACAAGGGAGCACTTTAGTGGGTATGCCCCCCACACCGTTTAAGACTCCTTTCCTCCCCGTGCATTTCATGGGCAGGACCTGTAGCGTTTGTTTTAGGTGTGAATGATTTCACGCCTGCTAGCAATGGTTGTGATCTGACAGGTGGAGTTGGTCGAGGAAGCAGTCTTCTTGTCCCAGAGTTAATGAAACAAGGGGCCGTGCGCGTAAGAACTGTGGCTTCCCCGAGATTTTGGAGGTAGGCGTTTATAGGCAAGGAAGAACACCCCCCTCCCCTGGGTGTTCTCAAGTTGTTGTGCTGCTGCTGTCCTCGTGTGCTTTTAGTGCCTCCTAGTGGCGTTTTGGCAGAACGACATGTGGCTCCATCCCACATGGCCTGTTCTGATGCCAAGCAGGAGCTTGAGAGATGGGAGGGGGCCTGCCCTCCTCGGGGCGTGCTGCCCCAGGATCCTTAGGGCACAGCTTCTACAACCCGCTATTATGACACGTATACTGATGAGTAACTTGAACATAAACGCATGGCGTATGCTCAGTGAAGGGAGACAGCTGAGGTTACTAACAAGACCAGAAAGCAGAAATTACCGTCACGAAGCTGTTTCAATATGACATGCCCACATGATTGAGGACTTCTTGCTTCCTCCCTTTCTAGGGGCAGGGGCCGGGGCGGGGGCGGGGGCGGGGGCGGGGGCAGGGGCAGGGGCAGGGCAGGGCCAGGGGCTTGCCATTTGGCACACTGAACCAAGTTCCTCAGGATCTCCTCACAGCTTGCACAGTATTAACTAGGTCCTCGTGTATTCAAAAAGATTCTAGGCTGAAAGGAAAGACGAGGAAGTGGTTTGGGGAGGTATCGTGTCTTGACTTTCTTCTTCTCATGGGTTTTTTTTTTTTTTTTTTTTTTTTTTGGTTTTTACGAGACAGGGTTTCTCTGTATTGTTTTGGAGGCTGTCGGACCAGCCCGGCCTGGAACTCACAGAGATCCGCCTGCCTCTGCCTCCCGAGTGCTGGGATTAAAGGCGTGCGCCACCACCGCCCGGCTTCTCATGATTTTTTTCCCCTAGTCTTGACATTACCTTGACATATTTAAAACACAGTACTTGCTGACGTCTCTGGTGTCAAACAGAGATGTCCGTTGTGTGGTTATCTTAGGGTTACAGAAAAGGGCAGGGGAAGCACAGCCACGTGTGGATAACCGCTGTAGACAAGTTGATGTGTTTCTGTGTTGCTTTTTGATTTGTATTTCTGTCCCCCCCCCTTTTTTTGAGTCAGGGTCTTTGTGTGCCCCAGACTGGCTTCAAACTTGCAATCCTCCTGCTCCATCTCTCTAAACGCTGTGATTTGGGCCTGCTTTTAAAAACCTGGGAAAGAGTCCTTCCTGAACACAATGTGTCTACAATAAGCATCTTTCCAGGTTGCTGGGATGTTTTGCAAGCTTGGTGTAATGGCCTAATAACAGCCACCCCCTTGGACAAGCCCCTTGAGGACCCCCTCATTAAAGTCACTCCCAAACAGGGAGCTACCAAGATGTTTGCCAGCCCCCAGGGTTTGCCAGGAAACATTTCTCTGTAATGGTGGTGGCCTGCTGTAAACTTTTTACAAGAACCTGCCTGCCTAGCTCAGCTGCACATTCTTTCCTGATTTTCCTATAGTCTCAGTTTTCAAAACAGTGTCGGGAATGGAATATATTGACCTTTCTGTGTTAGAAACTGGGAGCAGAGGGTTTGGAAGATTGCAAAGAGGGCTTCAGATGTGGCCCTCAGAGACAGTCTGGTTTCCTAGCAAAATGGCAAACTTGAACTGAGTTTCTTCATCGTGGGGCTGATTGAGCCTGGAGGACCCAGACTCACTGCATATTTTAATGGTTGCCTTCAGAGCTACAGTCAGGGTCAGAGACAACCCTAGCATCTGTGGAGGAAGGTGCAGCCTGGGCTTGTTCTTTTGAATGGCTACCAGGGCTCTGGAACAGATGAGGACCATGGCAGAGTTGCTTGTGTGAGGTAGAGTGAGGCTGTCAGCCTTGCAGGTTGAGGCGCTGGTAGGCCCTGGATGCTGTCAGCTGCAGGGGCATGAATCACAGAGAAGGAAGAGAGCGCTTAGGGGCTTTTGGTAGTAGAACAGGTGTCTAGTCCATGGGTTGATGGACAGGTGATCTTGGGATGGGGGGGCTTTCTGGGGGAAGACAGAAGCAAGAGCCTTGTCACACCTAGGGTGCCTAAGGCTTTCGTTTTTGTGTTTCTTGCATCCTGCTAAGTTTGCCTCTGCCAGCAGTGTTTGTTTTTCTTTCTTTCTGAGGCAGGGTTTCTCTGTGTAGCTCTGGCTGTCCTGGAACTCACTCTGTAGACCAGGCTGGCCTCAAACTCACAGGGATCCACCTGCCTCTGCCTCCCTAGTGCTGGAATTAAAAGCAAGGGCTAACAGTGTTCTCTCAGTGAGGACTGTGCTAAGTACTTGCCCTGTCGTTTTCTGTGCCTCAATGCAGCCAGAGAGTGGAGTAGTAATTCATTTGTTCTTTTCTTTAGGTCAGACTTCAAACTTCATCTCTTCATTTTTGTTCTATGTACCGTGATGAGCCTCAACATAAATTACTGGTTTTGGTTAATCCCCAGGACACAAAGACAGGTTGGTAGTTATTCCGTTTGTTTGTTTATTCAATATGTGTTGGTGTTTTGTCTGCATGCATGTCTGTATGAGGTGCCCATTCTCCTGGAACTGGAGTTACAGTTGTGAGCTGCAGTGTGGGTACTGGGATTGAACCTGGGCCCTCTGGAAGAGCAGTCAGTGTTCTTAACTGCTGAGCCCCCGTGGTTGGTAGTTATTAGTGTATGTGGGATGTGTGTGTTTGTGTTTGTGAGTGTGTGTGTGTGTGTGTGCGGGCATGAAGTGCTGAGGATGGAGCCCAGGGCCTTGCATGTACTAGGTGAGCACATGATTGAGCCACATGTACAGCCCTGGGTTTTTAAAACCAGGGGTCTTGATGTATGAAGGTCAAATACTTAGGGAGTATTGACAGTGTCCGTTTTTGAATTTGGAAGACTATTAAGGTAGACTGGTTTGTTTTCAACTTTTAGGAGCCCAGTGGTATCTTCTTATTTTATTGAGACATGGGTCATTTCACATGCCTCCTACCACAGTCCCCAAGCTGCTTTTGGGGTCACCACCCTTGCTGTCCTCATTAGCAGCGGTTTACAGAGTTGTGGGCACTGACCGGGATATCATCTGGCATCACCATGACCTTGTGGAATGAAAAGGTCATCCTTGTCACCAAATGCAGCGAACCAGGGCTTCAGGGAGGTCAAGTGACTTGCCAAAGGCCCCAGCTAGAGTACAGGAAGGCTCAGTTTCTGCAGAGTGGCAACCGGATGGCGTTTCTGTTTCTGGTGGCTATGGTTATAGGTCTGTGACTCATGATCGACCCCTGCGGTCACAGAGAAACTGTTTGCTACAGGCTTTTGTGACAGCTCTATGGGATAAGGTCTCTGCAGAGAGACACGCTCATGGTCAGTTGCATCTTTTCTTTTCCTTTTCCTCTGAGACAGGGTTTCTCTGTGTAGCCCTGGCTGTCCTGGAACTCACTTTGTATATAAGGCTGGTCTCAAACTCACAGAGATCGGCCTGCCTCTGCCTCCCGAGTGCTGGGATTAAAGGTGTGTGCCACCACTGCCCTGCCGTCAGTTGCATTTTAGGCAGAGGCTGGAGGTGCTGGCAGGGAGCAGCATGCAGTGGGGAGGACTAGCTGGTTGGTCTGCCTGAACCCAGAGCACCAGCGAGCCCGTAGGAGGCACCTTACCTCTGACCTCACAGCAAACAGTCCTACTTGACGTCTTCTTGTTTGTTTTGCATTGCTTTCCAGTGAGAGGTAGCAACGCTAGTCTACTGGTAACAAACTTTTTAATTACTTAGGCCTCCTTACATGTTGACATGGTGGGATTCCAGGTCTTTTAACTACTCTTTGCAAAGGAGGTCTGTCTGTCCCAGCTCTCCACCTCCCCCGGAGAAATGTTTTTGCTTGTCACCTGTCTGTCTGCTGGGAGTGTGTCCTCAGAGGATCCCTTGCTTGACTGGTGTAACCAAGTGTAAGGTGACATCTTTGGGGACAAGCTGTTCAAAAGTATGGAAGACTTCATGTTTCTCTTCTTGCTTGGCTAGCTGTCTGGGTGTTGGGGTTGTGGTGGCAGAGCCTTCCAGTTGCCCCAGGGCCGACAGAGGCTGTGAGGGCTCTCTGATGGCAGTGCTGTCTGGGTGTTGGGGTTGTGGTGGCAGAGCCTTCCAGTTGCCCCAGGGCCGACAGAGGCTGTGAGAGCTCTCTGATGGCAGTGCTGTCTGGGTGGGGGTGTGGTGGCAGAGCCTCCCTATTGCCCCAGGGCCGACAGAGGCTTGTGAGAGCTCTCTGATGGCAGTGAGGGTGGCTGCTCTCTCTCCCTGCATCCAGTTGAGCTTGGCTGCCCTGAAGAGAGGGTTCGTGGTAACCTCAGGCTTTTGGTCTCCTTTTGTCTTTTTCTTTTTGGTTTTTCAAGACAGGATTTCTCTGTAGCTTTTGGAGCCTATCCTGGAAAATTTGCTCTGTACACCAGGCTGGCCTCGAACTCAGAGATCCACCTGCCTCAGCCTCCCCAGTGCTGAGATTAAAGACGTGCGCCACCGCCACCTGGCAACCTTAGGTTTTGGACACTACCTTGAGTTTGCAACCTCCCTACCAGGGAAGAAGAGGAGGAGTACTTGGATGCACAGATTATGAAAAACTGACTCATTTTAGGAAAATGTCCATATATCAGCCGCTTCCCTCACCCCATTAGGCATTGCACAGGAACCTGGTTGTGGCCTTTAAAGACAGTCTGCGCCATGTAAACATATGATGGATTCTTAGAAATCTGCTTCCCATTTGCACTGTACTTAATTTTCTGTTGTTTTTTAAGCGTATATCCTAATACATATTCACAAGTGCTAAAAAAAATCTCACTGTGGCCCCATGCTCGTAGGCGAGCGTGCTTTTAATAATGTTTCCGTGTGACTTCCTGCTGCCGTGGGTTCCATCTTTGCTAGCTGCGACTGTTCATGATTTCAGAGAAGCATGCATGTTCTTGATGCCCCATGCATGCTACTCCAGTGTTTAGAAGGCATCTTCATAGAATGTATACCTTGGGACTTGAGACGTGTAGACCTAATACAAGGATTCTTCATGGCTTTGCCCAGTGTGTCATTTACCCTTGTGCTGAGCCGTGTCTATGGAGAAGGGAATTGTTGGCTCCTGTACCATTATCTTTGCATTGTGGTGAAGGCAGATGCGTGTTTAAATGGAAGCTGTTTGATCGGCCCTGCATATGAGTTAATTATTGATAACTGTGTGTGAGTTAATTATTGATAAGCTGGTTGACTCCATTACAGTGACTTCCGATAAGTCTGTAAGCAAATGAAAAACATCCTGGAAGGGCCAGTTCCCCAGTGGCCGGCAGCCGATGCTATGGCATCCTGCTCAAACATGAGGGATGAAGCCTCCACCACGTTCCCTGTAGGAAACGGTAAATGCATCCCACACAAAGGCGGCTTCAGAGGCAGGCACTCTTGTCTCTGCTGCTGGCATTTACTCTGGTTTTCTACATAGCTGCTGGTTTATATTCCCTAAGAGGAAGTGGACAGAGGTACTGGTCAACCCCGCTTCCTATGTGGCCTCGGCTTCCCAAGGGCCTTTAGATACTTCCTCATGATTTACTGCCCTCTTTTTAAATTAGCAATTGATCTCAAGTGTTTATGAATATAGAAAGTAAGTCCTCATGCCAAATGAAAGGCCACCTTCCCCTCATCTTCTCTAGTAAATGCACCTTAGTGTCCATGGTGGCCACCACTGGTGACCCTTGCCTTTTCTTCCGGTGTCCTGCATGTGCAATAGAATGCACCTAGTGAAGTGAAGCCACGTGAAGTCTTGGTTCAGCTAACTGCCTGCGTGTGTTGGCTGGGCTGTTTGGCTTCTCTTGAGCAAGGCTCATCATTTTCAAACAGAAAACATCTTGTACTTCCCAGGGCATTTGTGGAAACTGAATGACCTGGGGCAGAAAGCGTGAGCTTTGGGACCATTTCAGGAGAGAGCAGGATGCCCTGGTTTACTCTTCACCTTTCCGTTTTCACTGTATGAGAGAAACGTGTGACTTCAGAGGGCCAGACTCATGTGTTAACCTCTGGTCAAACTCTATGAGCAGAAATTCTGTCCCCAACAGATTCTGCCTGCCAAACCCAGGTAGTCTAGTTTGACTGTTCTGCACACGCCAAACTGCCTATTGGGTAAGTGTCATATACTTGATCCGAAAACACCAACTGATCAAGGGTAGGCCCATGGGTCACATGGCTTTCAAAAGACAGTGGGGAGCAGCAGCTGTGATCCAGGGCTGCTAGGAGGGAAGAAGTTAGTGTTTCTAGTGACTTCCTTTGCCAGCCAGGCCATGTCTGTACAAATGGTGTTTGTCTATGGAATGTTTAGGGGACAAAGGGAGGGGTGGAGCAATGTCTGAGGGGACCAGGCTGCAGATAAGGCCTGTGGGGAGGGAGAGGGGGTGTTTCAAGGCTCCTGGAGGGAGCTGGAGAGATGGCTCAGTGGCTAAAAGCATTTGCCAGGGTTTGAATCCTGGCATAGAACAAGCCAGGTATCGCACACATTCCTTTAACTCCAGTTTAAAGAGCTAATGTCCTCTTTTGACTTCTGCGTGTACACACACACACACACACACACACACACACACACACACACACACACAGATGAATAAACAACCAGATGGTGACCTTTGAAGGTATGCTGAAATCCTGAGGGCCAGGGCTCGGCAAGGTGGGTTTTAGGCACCGTGGCTGTCTTTCAGAAAGAGAAAATGGGTCATTTGGAATAATTCTATTTCAATTCTGAACATACCAGTTTATCTCTATTTCAAATATATCAACATTCAATTCTAATTATTTTATTTTCACTTCCTGAGAACGTGTTTTTATTGCTTGACTAACTATTAATCCCACTTTAAAAGAAGGAGCAGGCTTCCAGCTAGATGCTCAGAGCTAGGGTGAGATGGATCTTGGTAAGACTTGATCTGCAGGGCAGTGGTGCTGTGTTGGTAGCCAGGATGCTGAGAGGACAGGTGTATACAGACAAGCCAATCATAGCATCTGGGAAGATCTGGTCCCTGTACCCTTGGGTGGCTCAGGCCACTAGGGTGTGATATGCTGACATGCCCTTGTGTCTCCTTTCTGATCTGGTGCCTTCCACATTTGGGCCCTCCATGCTGGTAGGTGTGGCCTCTTTAAGGACACTTCTTTTCTTGTTTGGGATTGCCTTCTCCTTGCTCCTCGTTCTCTGCTTGTTGCTTCTGTGGTGTTTCTTCGGAGAAGTGGATCCTGCAGGGACTCATGTGACCTTTTAAGGACAAAGCTCGGGGCTTCCCAAAGCCACTGCGTCGTCTGCTCTTTCTAGTCCTTTCCTGACTCTGCATGCTCTTGGGAAGAGTAGTTTTCCATTCCAGGGTCACATCATAGGCTCTGGCAGCTGTAGGATGAATTCTTAGCGTCAAGAGCTTTTTGCCTTTGCAGTGAGGATGGCCCTCTGCGACTATCAAGTATTTCACATTTGTTTTTTGGGTTCTGTTCTC